GCTCAGACACACAGAAGAGCAACTTAGAGCCCATGACCCACCCCCTGGGGTCAACAAGACGGTCCCTAGCGGTGTGTGTTGGGTGGGTGGGGGGTGCAGGTGGGAAGAAAAAGCCGGAAGTTGAGGGCATGAGAGGCAGCAACAGAACCGAGACCGGGAGCTGCTGCTGAAGCCTCAGAAAAGAGAAGAAGACATCCTGAAAAGCGGATGGAAGCCGGGTGTGAGCAAGGAGCCAGGCATGGAGAAGCAAGACCTGCAGAACGTGGGGGAGATACTCGTGAAGAGAAAGTAGAGTATGCGAGAGTATGATAGGCCACGTCTCCGGGCATACATAGAAAGCAAGGGATTGCTTTTTCAGGAGAGCAAAAAGATCCAGGAGACCAGCCTCAAGTGGGGGCTCCCTGCTGCTTCCGAACAAAGGCCAGGGAGCCTGGGACCCTAGCACAAGTGGTCCTCTTGTTTGTTGGTGTGCTGTGCCTCTGGGTACCCAAGTGATCCCGTGTGCGTGTGGTGAAATGACCAGGGCACGAATGCGTGGGTCTATACGCCCAGTAAACACAGTATGTATCCCTCCTCGCTAGTAAGTGTACTGTGCTTGTGGACACATGCTTACCCATGTGTGCGTGCACAGTGCCGTGAGCACATGCAAGAGATCCCGTGTCAGAGGTATCAGCTGGTTCTCCTGCCATCGGGGTCCTGGCCCTTCCCCCTCCTCGGTGCCTCTCTGACTTCTCTCAGCGCCCCGGTTCCCCTGGCCCGCCTAGACTCTGGAAACCCCCTAGCAGGCGAATCTGCTCAGTCTGCATGGAGTGGCGTCTCACCAACTTGCGCTTGGTCCTGGGAGACCCTGGCGCCCCAGGAGGGGCGGGCAGTGAGGGTGCCCGACCTCCGGCTTGGGGGCGAATGTCGGGGATGGGAGGGTGGGGGCTGACGTTGAGAGGAGGCAAGAAACCGGGTCGCGTTTGCGAGATGTGGTCCAGGAGCAAGGTCCCGGAGCCCCTCCGCTCCAGCAGCCCGGGACTCCGCCTCCGTCCGCTCAGCGGGGACACAGCCCCGGGCAGGCTTTCTTGGGACTGGCGTGGGGAAGAGATTGAGCCCGCGGGAGGGAGGGTCAGCGGAGAGGCGCTGTATCGCCGGCGCTCCAGGGACAAGCGGCTGGACTCGGGCGAGTCAGGGCAAAAATGTCCCGGGCTATCGAGCTCCACCGGCTCCATGCGGCTCAGTTTTTGCCGTAGCCCGGAAGGCAGACCAGACTCCTGAGTCTCGGGCGCTGTGTTTCGGCGCGAGAGGGGACCCCCGCCCGTCACTTTCTCCGCCCACGGAGGCGGGTCCTCCGGGCCTTCGGTGCTGTGACGCCGAGAAAGACGCGGTCTGCCGGTCAGGGTCAGGCCGTTAAATTCCGCGGCCAGGCGCTCCATCCCCGGTCTCCCTTCGGCGGGAGGGACCGGCTGAGGAGGAGCCACAAGGCCCCAGGGCTCGGAGTTGAGCCTTTTGAGTGGCTTTGGAGGGTGTCGAGGCGGCTTGGGGAGAGGCTCGGAAGGGGAAGGGTCATCAGGGGGCTTAGGGAGAGGGAATTCAAATATGTCTCTTTTCTCCTCTTCTTCCTGGGCGCGAGGGGACAACAACCCCCGTCCTCCTCCTGCAGTCTGCAGTTGGACTTCCGAAGGCGACGTGCAGACCCCTGGACTAGGAGGAGCCGGTGCAGGGTCCTCTACCCCCGGGGACGGTGGGGAGTTGAGATACTGCCTGGTCTTCTTGGTGCCCGAGGGCGAGGTATCCGTGGTTATGATGATGACCTCCGTGCCCTTGGCCTTGCAGGCGTCCAGCAGCGTGGCAAGGGTCTCGCGGTCCCCGCGGTCCAGGGCGTGGACCAGCGCCGAAGCGCCAGCGTGATCTCGGACTGAGGGGTCTGCGCCGTGGGCCAGGAGCAGAGAGGCCACTGCGGCTCCCCCACCCCCGGCGCAAGCGTGCATGAGCGCGGTGCGTCCTAAACGGTCTGCGATGTTGGGGTCCGCGCCTTGCTCCAGGAGGTAGCGTACCATACGCGCCTTGTTCTGGGGGTCGTCGTAGCGGGCCCTGCAGGCCGCCATTAGCGCAGTCTCCCCTTGGGCATCACCCTCATTCACGTAGGCTCCTCCCTCCAGAAGCAAACGGGCCAAGCGCAGCTTACCCTGACCCACCGCCCGAAGAAGAGCGTGGCCCTCGGTGTGCAGCATAGCTACGGCTCGGGCGAAAGCACCGATGGATGGAGCCGGGAATGGGACCTGACGAAGATGGCTAGGAGTGTGGGGGTGGTGGTTGGGAGAGGCCTGAGGTCTTGGTGGTAAAGCCTATCCCTGTGAAAAAGAGGAGAGAGAGAGGGAGAGAGAGCTTATTGACAGGCTCAGCAGGGAAACTGAGGCACCGATGAAGATGCCTGGTGTATGACGGGAGGGGGGGGTCTCCAATGCACAGTCCTTCCTCTTGACTCCTGCCTTTGAGCCAACCCCCCCTCCCCGCCCAGTGCATGCCAGAGGAGGTGGGAAGGGTGCATCCGCACTGAAGGCTCATGCAAATACGTACATGCACGCGCAGAGATATTCGCACCCCCCATTCGCACCCCACGGCTTATCAGACCTTTCCAACATCCCCCCTTTTCTTATCCACACTTGGAATCCCCCTCTCTAGGATACTGAACGCCACCCACCCACACACATGCACCCGTACAGTCATACACATATTTCTATTCCTAACCTCTTTTAGATTGCCACATCCCCAAAAATTGAGTGGGGGGAAGGAAGCAGCTTGCATTTGGGACCTAAAGGGGTGGAGGAAGAATTAGGGATTCTTTTGCCCCTTCTGTGTTCCCCGTTGCTCCTCGTTCTTCCCCCTCCCAGGCTGTACCCCCAAATAGATACCTGAATGTCCGCATAATCTTTGACTGGCCAGGATTGAGGCTGGGGCCATGGGGGCCTCCGGGGTGGAGGAGCCGGGTACCTGGGGGCCCACATGGCGTGGGGGGGCACCCGGATTCCCTTGGTGTCAGTATCTGCGCCCCAGCGCTGGATCCTGGTCCCTCCTCCCGGTGCGCCCCGGGCACAGCGCCGGCTCCGGAGGAGAGAAGAGGGGGGGTGGGGGCGGAGCTCTGCTGTGCTATTTATAGCCCAGTCTCTGCGGGTGGGGGCGTCCGGCACCAAGCCGCTCCCCACCCCCATGCGCACACACATAAACCAAAAAAAAAAAAAAACCAAAAACCTAGTGCTTCCAATCTTGACTTCCGTTTCTTAACCCACCTCCCCCAGCCCCAACAAACCTAAACGCTCCTTAGGGGACTCGCCGGCGACCCATTCAGGAACCATCCCGATTCTGATTCTTCGTAGAGCTTGAGCAGATCTCCATGATATCCAGTATGCCAGACCTGACTGCCACACACGGCATATGGCACACTGTGCAGAGGGGTGTAGGGAGGCGGTTGGGATCTGCAGCGGCGTCCACACAGATCAGAGAGAGAGGCAGGAGATGTGGCTCCCTTCCCATAGTTTAAATATCAGGGAGAGCATACCCTGGAATCAGACAGTAATGTGCCCCCCCCCCCCCCCGCTGCTCCTCTCTCAACATCACACACCACAGAGACACTTGGATCTCAGTTCCCATGGGTCCTTTAGGAATGAGGAAGGTGGCCCTCCCAGGGCATTTCTAGCGCAAGGGGCATTCTCAGATTCCTTTCCCCCGATATTTTAAGCAGTGTCTCTCTCTATACGAGAGAGGAAAGGGGCAGAGAAATGACTGAACCCTTGTTACACGGTGCTCTCTTTACATCTCCTTACTCTGTCTCGCTTGAAGGTCCCTGCCTGAATCACTCCTTGTCTCTTCCTATCTGTTGCTCTCGCTGCCTCTGCCTCTCCGTGCCACCTGCCCTGTCTCCATGGTTACCAAGGCTGCCATCTGCATATTTTAGGGATGAGTTTGTGTCCAGTTGGAAGGTACCAAGGGAAGTGGGGGCATTGGATGGGTACTAAGGGTTTGGAACGCTTATCAAGGATCCTAGAGAACTCAGATGGCAAAAGCCACCATATACTGATGCAAAAAAAAATGTTACTGGGAAAGGAAGAGAAATATTTGTAGGGAAAACGCCCACTTATACTAGTTATTGAAGTGCCGAGCGCTTTGCACACATCATCTCCAACCCTCACAACTCTATAAGGTGGGAACTATTGTCTTCTTGTGATGAGGTTAAGCAAGTTCCCCCAAAGTTTCACAACTCTGTTTTTGTACTAGTCCAAAAACTGGACACAGCACCACACCCACATACAACTCCCCAGTCTATAAAGGCCATTTTCTCTGACATCTGGCATGTTCTTGTTGACTACTCCTAGCTTTCTCTCCATCCTGAAGTATTTCCCTCTTTCTACTCTGTGAAAAGAACCCCACTGGGTTCCTGCCTTCTCTCCCCAACGACTTCTCTGATCCCCAAGCCCCCTCCCTGCTCCCACTTCGTAAGACACAGCTCCAGTCCACGGGGGTGGAGGGCGGGGGTAGCCCACGCTCAGGAACAGCAGAGGCAAACGTATCGTGAGTTCAAAGCCAGCCTAGACTGGGTAGCCAGACCGTCTTTTTTAAAAAAATATTTTAAAGTATTTATTGGTGGTGCTGGAGACTGCGTAAGATTAGAGGGGTCGACTCCGAGAGGAGCTCGAGTGGGGGTGGCGCGCACGTCGTACGGCCACAAGAGGGCGCCAGAGCCGCTGGAGCTGCAGCCGGGCGGTTGGGAGCCTCCAGGCGGGTGCTGGGAACGAACTCGCTGCTGAGCCGCAGTCCAGGCTCCCCAACCCAGGAGGCCATGTCCCGGCAGCGAGTCTCCGCTTCTGGCTCAGCCACGTGCCTGGCTGAGGAGCAGGTCATCTTGGCCGGCTCCTGCCACCCCGAGCCTGCCCCGTCCGGGCTGGGACGGGGACTGCAGCCCCGGGTCTCAGCGCGCCCCACTTCCCCAGCCTCAGTTCCGGTGCGGCTCGCTCCCTCCGCCCCCTCGCCTCGCCCTCCTCCGCTCGCCAAGATTGGCCGGGAAACCCACCAATGGGGAGCTCGGGGAGGCGGGCCTAGAGCGCGGGCTGGAGGAAGAAAAGCGAAGTTCAAGTTGGCCGCTGCGTGGGCCCCGAGTGGGGGAGGGACGGCAGGTAAGGCTTCGACTTGGTGGCTCTGACCCCGTTTGGTCCGGTACTTCCCAAAATTAGCCCTCCGGGGCCGACGGCAAGCTAGACAGCGCTTCCTGTCAGCCTGTCGGACCAGCCCCCTTCTGGATCCCCACCCTTTCTCCCGCGGCTCCCATTGCTGTGTCGACTGTACATCAAAGATAGGCAGGGCTTGCTGTCGCGCCTGGGGACAGATATTAAAGCGGAAGGCGAGAAAGGCTCATCCTTGTAGCTCAGAATGGTGCCAGCCTCGCCCGCGTCTGTTAACACTAGCCCCCTGTCAAGAGCCCGACAGACGCCTGCTATCTATCAAGTCAGCTGAAACGCTCTCCCCTACCCACCGCTCTCCTCCTGGATCGCCTTCCTTGAAGGATTAATTCAAGGATCCCAGCCTGACACTGCCTGATTAGCACGATTGGAATCTCTTTAATTCTTAAAATCGCATTATTTGTGTGCGTATTTGTGTGTAGACGTGCGTGCCACGACTTGCGCCTGGAGGTCAGAGGACAGCTTGAGCCGCAGCTTCAGGTTTTCTGGCCACTTGGCAGCAAGAGTGTTTACCATTTCGTGGGGCTCGCCCTCTCCCTCCATCCCGCCCGTCCTTTTTATTGGCAGACTCCCGCTATGTAGCCTATACTGGCCTCCAACTTGCCCTTCTCTTGGTACAGCCTCCCCAGTACTAGGATTACAGGTTCTCTTTTGAAGTGTCTGTTTGGACGGAAGGTTTGGTGAGACAGACTGTGGTCGGTAATACATTGTGCTCAATAAGCGTTAATTGAATGGAATTGATTTGTGGGAGCCAGTGCTCTTGACAAGGAGGACGAATTTAAACTCCTAATAAGGGAACAATAGAAGAAAACATGGTATATAATTAAGGGCCTTTAAATTGGTGGTTTATTGCATTAATGTTTTATAATTACTCTCAGACCAGAGAAGGAAACCAGCAAAGAGAACCGGAAGGGAGGCAGTATGACTCACAAGGTCTCAAGTGTGGACGGTCTTTGGACCCATGTAGTCAGTTGTTCAAACAACAGGTATTTACTGAGCACCTACTACATGCCAGACGCAATGCTAGACAATGAGGATCAGAGTGAGCCCTCTGCTGAAAATCTGTTCAATAAATTATTTAGTGACTATGAGACAGGTTCTTGCTATGCAGCACAAGCAGGCTGGCCTCCAACTTACGATCTTCCTGCCTCAGCCTTCCTGAAAGGCTGAGATAACAGGCTTGCACCACTACACCCCAAATTTAAAAAAAAAATAATTTTAACTGTGAAGAGTGAGTCCAGCCTTACAAATGCTAAGCGTTAACTCTGCCCCTGAGCTATACTCATACCTCTGTGCCAACATCTTTGGTAAAAAACAAACAACACCAAAAAAAAAAAAAAAAAACACTAGTTCTTTTCAAGTTATTCCACTATTTAATTTTTTCTTTATTTGTTCAACTTAATTTATTAGTGGGGCTAGGTGGAGTGTGTGCCATGGTGCACATGTGGAGGTCATAGGAATGATGTGTATTCTACATTTCCATTGTAAGACAGGAAGATTGCACCAGTGTTACACTTTTTTTTTTTTTTTTTTTTTTTTTTTTTTTTTTTTTTTTTTTTTTTTTTTTTTTTTTTGGTACAGGGTTTCTCTGTGTAGCTTTGCGCCTTTCCTGGAACTCACTTGGTAGCCCAGGCTAGCCTCGAACTCACAGAGATCCGCCTGCCTCTGCCTCCCGAGTGCTGGGATTAAAGGCGTGCGCCACCAACGCCCGGCTATGTTACACTTTTTAAAGTGTGTGTGTGTGTTTTGCCTGCGTGTATGTCTGTGCAGTATGTGTATACAGTGCCTGCAGAATCCAAAAGAAAGTATCAGATCCCCTGGAACTGGAGTTACAGACAGTTGTGAGCCATCACATGAGTGCTGGGAATCGGACCAGGGTCCCCTGGAAGAGCAGCTGTACTCGTAACCACTGAGCCATCTCTCCAGCCCTCTCCTGCATTCTTAAAAACAAAACATCCTTTTTACTTGTTAATTGTAGGATATCCATTTATTCCATACAACTTGCAAACATGTAGTAATAAAAGAAAAGAGTGCATTATTCCATAGTCCTAGTGTAGTAGTTACTGGTTAGTATTTTACAATTTTAAACTTGATTATTATTACGTGTACTTGTACACAGACGTGCCAGAGCGCTCCTGTCGAGATCAGAGGGCCGCTTTGTGAGGGTATGTCTCCATTTTCACCTTTACATGGTCCCAGGGATGGAGCTCAGGTCCTTGGAGCTGCATGTCATGCAGCGAGTGCCTTCACCTGCTGGACCACCTACCTGCCCCTTACTGCATCTTGATAGATATTCTCAGTTTATCTGCATGCATGCATAAATGTGTGTGTGTTATAAGTAAATAGGGCCGCACAGATTCAATTTTATACCAAGAATGGAAACACAAAAGAAAATAACAGGTAAACATGGCTTTATATCATATTCCCCCTTGCCCCTCACATTCCATATTATCAACCTCTTCTGCCTGTATATAACTTGAGGTCATGACATTTGTGTTAACTGATAATATTCTCAAATGGCTTTTTTTTTTAAATCGTCTATCATTAGACCACTTATGTCATTATAGAATTTGATGTTTGAAACAAAGTTTCACTATATAGCCCAGGCTGGCTAGGAACTCCCTAGATACCTTAGCCTCCTGTGTGCTAGGGCTGTAGATATGCGTCACCATGCCTAGTTTATTTCAGAACTTTGCTCCCATAAATAGCTCTTTAACCAACATTCTGATATTTTATTGCAGAATATGTGATTATTTAGGATGGATTTTATGTAGATGGACTTTTCTGTCCTGCCAGTCAATTCCCAAATAACCACACAGAGATTTATTATTGTTTATTATTATGCTTGGCCAATAACTCAGGCTTGTCACTAGCCAACTCTTACACTTTTAATTAATTCACATTTCTTATCTACACTCTGCCATGTGTTTTGGTGCCTTTTCTCACTATGGCAAGTTCATCTCCTTCTCTCCACATCTCCTTTCGATTCTGAGATACTCCTCCCCTTCCTCCTTCCTCCTCCTCTTTCTCTTCTTCTTCTTTTGTTTTTTGTTTTTGTTTTTGTTTTGTTTTGTTTTTTTTCAAGACAGGGTTTCTCCGGGTAGTTTTGGTACCTGTCCTGGATGTCGCTTTGTAGACCAGGCCGGCCTCGAACTCACAGAGATCTGCCTGCCTCTGCCTCCCGAGTGCTGGATTTAAAGGTGTGTGCCACTGCAGCCCGGCTACTCCTCTCCTTCTTCTTCAAGCTCTCTTTTTGTCTCGAGTCCTGCCTAACCTCTGCCTGTCTAGCTATTGGCCAGTCAGCTTCTTTATTAACCCAATCACAGTGGCATATATTCACACAGTGTAAAGGAATAGTCCACAGTTTTAACAGTAGGGTTTCTAGATTGAGATTAAAAACCTTGAGAGGTTGTTTACCCTTCCCATTGAGGTGTGTTCATGTTTTAGTTTGCTTTCTACTGCTGTGATAAAACACTATGACCAAGAACAACTTAGGGAGGAAAGTGTTTATTTGGTTTACACATCCCAGTCACAGTCTATCATGAAGGAAGCAAGGCAGGAACCTGGAGGCCGACACCGAAGCAGAGGCCATGGGGGAATGCTGCTGACTGCCTTGCTCTCCATGGCTTTCTCAGCTTCTCTTCTATCCAACCCAAGACCACCTGCCCAGGGGTGGCACCGCCCACAGTGCCCTGGGCCCTCCCACATCATCAACGAAGAAAATGCCCTCCCAGACTTGCCCACAGGCCCATCTGATGGAACCGTCTTCTCGTTGAGATTCTTTCTTCCCAAATGGCCCTAGCTTGTGCCAACTGACAGAAATCTAACCATCCCAGCCAATGTCCATCCGAGGGGAATCTCACCACAGCCTGATTATTTTTTTATTTTATCATTTTAATTTTGGCTAGTCCCTTTGTTAGGTAGAAAATGGTTTTCTTGGACTGCGGAGATGGCTCAGTCCATAAAAAAACGCTTTCATCTCAAGCTGGAAAACCTGGGTTTATACCCCTGGAACCTGTGTAAAGCAGGACAGATGTGGTGGCCTGGGGAGTAACACCACAGGAGCTCTCTGGCCAGCTGTGACAAACATAAAGACCTTGCCTCTAAAGCAGCAGAGGGTGAAGGCCACACCCAAAGTTGTCCTCTGACCTCCACGCACATCACAGCCCACATGCACCTTCACACGCAAACACATGCACACGCACAAACACATGCACATGCACACACTGTCCACGCACATACATACAAAACGATTTTTTAAAGCAGGGGCCAGAAAGACAGCTTAGTGGTTAAGAGGGTATGCTGCTCTCACAGAGGACCCAGGTTATTTCCCAGCACCCATCTGCAACTCCAGCTACGGGGGAATCTGACCCCGCTGGCCACCATGGGCACCAGCACTCACATGCACATAACCCACAAGAGGTTTTAACTCCAGCACTTGGGAGGCAGAGGTAGGCAGATCTGTGTGTGAGGCCAGCCTGGTCTACATAGTTCTAGAACAACCAGCACTATGTAGAGAGAGCCTGTTTCAAATAGATAGATAGATAGATAGATAGATAGATAGATAGATAGATAGATAGATAGATAGATAGACAGACAGATAGAGATATATTTTAAAATGGTTTTATTGACCATTATTTTGCCAACTTTCTGTTTATATTCTTTGTCCCTTTTTGTTTTTGTTGTTTATTTGTTTTGAGGCAGAGTCTCACTATGTAGCTTTGGCTGGCCTGGAACTCTTTTGTAGACTAGGCTGGCCTTGAACTCACAGAGATCCACCTGCCTCTGCTGGGATTAAAGGTACTTGACACCATGTCCAGCCTTTGTCTGTTTTGTTTTGTTTCGATTGGGTTTGGGTTTGGGTTTTTTGAGACAGTATCTTTCTGTGTAGCCTGGACTTGTCCAGAGTTTGCAGTCCCAGCTTCTCTAGTGCCGGC